TTAAGTAACGTGCAATAATAAACAATATTTCATACATTAAAAAATGTTTTTTAAAAGTTTTTTATTAAATATTTTATAATATAATATAGATAATAAGATATAGTTTTTTTTAATAATGTTATATCAGTAAAACTCCATTTTAGGGATATAATACCATTTTTTTTAGTTTAAAGCCGATAAAAGGCCTAAACCGATCAGACTAGACCGTCTCCTTGTAGTCCAGTTTGATGACTTACTATCAAACCGTTCAATTTAAAAAATTTCATAAACCACCACCACGGTTTGGTTAGTGACTTGGTAGGTTAAACCACCCAACCCAAGCCACAAACATCCTAAGATTCGGCATCCTTGAAGGACTATTTATGTAAGTCGCTCTTCAAAATATTGTGTATTCCAATCAGTGTATTCCAATCAAAAATTGTACTTGCTCCCGACTAAAAATGGGTAATGGAAATCAATTGAGCCCACCTCCATTTAGAACATAATATTGCAAAAAGGGAAGAGGAAAATGGGTGAATTAAGCTGAGATTTATGCACCAAACTACTCATATCACACAGAAAAATAAAGACCCTCATCTAACTGTGGAAAGTCTCACAACAACCAAGTTCGGAATTTACTACCTCCCTCTGTATTATGAGAGGATCAGGGGGGCTTTTTAAGTCAAATAACAACCAAGTTCGGAATTTACTACCTCCCTCTGTATTATGAGAGGATCAGGGGGCTTGTTGCTAGAAAGTTCATAAGTAGCTGCCCAACATACATGACCCTGATCCTCTCATAATACAAATTTTAAGAATTTCCTCAACAACCAATTTGATTGCCAAGTGCCAACCACCCCACCAACACACACACAATACAATCATCATCCTAAAAGCCACCTTACGCTGCAAAACCAAACCAAACCAAACCAAACCAAACCAGAACAGCTTTTATGCTGCAGAGATGTAAACCAAACCACCCGAGCAGGGTCTAGGGGAAGACGTAGCGAGACATGACTCATCTATCCCCAAAGAACAGAGCCCGTGAAGACAATACATACGAATGAAAGAATGGCATGCATGTATGTAACCAACAATACATATGAATGAAAGAAAGAAATTGGAATAATAGCTATAATATATGTTTTACATGATAAAAAAGGCTTGACCAAAAGAGTCGGAAATTTAAGTAGCACAAATTGCAACATCTTTCAGGATCAGTTGATGGTTTAGCCAAAAGAGAATCTTAAAGAAAATTGAAATTGTTTCAACACAAATGAAACATATAAAAATTGTAAAGGAATGTAATAATATGCTAGAATTATAAGATAACAGAGAGAGGAGGAGGAAACAATACCCAACCAGCACTGGGATCTTGTAAAAACACCCCAGACAGACAGACAGACAGATATCTATCTTATACGCCATGCTTGCTTGCTTGCTTCTTTATCCTGCTGCTGCTACTGCCATTACAAGAAGCTTTCAAATTATCTCTTTCTTGTTTTCGTCCCAAAAGAATATAAATTCAGCCTGCCTGTTATACCAAACCGCATCAACACCCCCAAAAGAATATATACTTATATCTAGAAATGAGTTTCTTCTGTCAACATCTAAGTGAAAATGAATTTCTTTTCTTCATCTCTTTGCTTAAGCTACGAGCTGATCAAGTTGCATCTGCTCCAGCCATGCACCTAATACTGAATGATCACTTGATTCAACCTCACCGGATGGTGCAGCAGCACTACCAGAAGGTGCTGGTGCCGCCGACTTGTTTTTCATCATCTCAGGTGGTGATTCCTTCACAAGAGACTGCACCCATGACAGGTCAGGCTCCTCAGCACCGTTGTTGTTGAGCTCAAAGGAAGACGACCTTTTCAGTTTCCCAAAATCGTCCACATTCACAGACCAATCTACTTTCCCAGTTGGAGATCCCCATTTAGACCAAGAGGAGGAAGTAGTAGTATTCACAGGCGATCCAACATTGAAAGGACTGTTCGTACCAAGATCCCGTGAGCTGAGACTACGTAGCTGTTGTTGGTGCTGCTTCTCACGCTGAGCAAAAGCAGAAAGCCTGGCACCCATTGGAGATATTGGATCCATGCTTCTTGGCGACATTCTCCCGGGTGATGACACACCAAATGAAGCCTGCAACAAGGCATGGTCAACATTCTTTGGTGAGAAGACATTCGTATTGATAGGAGAAAGCACGCTTTGCTGCTGTTGGAACTGATTGAGAACAGCAGATTTGTGTGATGGCGAAAAGACGCCAGAAGATGCAGCCTGGTCAGAATATCTGGGAGAAGAAGTGAGCTCAGCCGAAAAAAGATCTTCAAGATTTGCAGGAGCAAGTGTTTTGGACCGAGTAGGACGGTTCAAAGAGAGTGAACCAGGGCGCGATTGTGAGAAACAAGCCAAGTCATTTAGCAGTTGTTGCGACTCAAAATCTTGCAACATGCTCAAATCATCTGGTGGAATGTCTCGGGCGCTAAGAGAGGATCTAAGCCGGCTTGATTGGAGGTTGCTTCCTGGAAGGTGAAGGGTTGGCACATTTGGCTGAGGCCAAGCAACAGAAGAGTGTGGACCACCATTTCCAGATGGGGACATCTGTTGATTGAAAGCAGGAGACATCACAGAGACAGATGAAGGTGAACCAGGCAGAAGGTTCAAAGCTGCAGCCATGTCCATGACACTAGCACCGGCGGCAGATGACCTAGGAGATGGAACAGCCGAACCGGTGGAAACATACAGTGGCCGAAGCTCCTCAGGAGTATGGGCAAAAAAGCAAACACGCCTAGCACAGCTTGTACCATCTTTACATAAGCGTGTACGGTATTGAGCTGGATGGAGCCAGCACTCGAAAACGCCATGAGCATATTCACACATATCCCCTCGTCTACAAGCACCTTTCCTGAAATCAGGGCAAGGTACACAGCTATAATGGTACTTCCTGGGGTCCCTTCTGCGTGCATTTTCTCCTGGATGAACAAAAGGGCACTCAGTCCAATCATGGGAATACGCCCTTGAGCAAGGGCGGACCTTGAATGAAAACATCCGGAACTCATCAGTAGAATAAATGCTGTTTTTAATGTCAGGGAGAGATGGGTCGATTGGATACTCTTTCTTTTCTGATGTGGAGTTCATAGGAATGTCATTAAATTTTGACATCATTGGAGAGGATACCAACTCTGAAGGAGAGCAAGGAGAACCATTATCCGGCGAAGATGATAGGGTCGGGGACCAAGAGCTTGATGTAGTGACAGATACAGTCAGCTTGCAGTCGCCAACTGATCCATCAAATGCATTGTTCATGAGAAGTTCTTCAAGCGAAGCTCTAACCCCAGACAGCTTCGGAGGTACAATAATCACATCAATGGGCCGATGTCCATTAGCATCCTCAATGTTTGGATCAGCACCAACAGACAGAAGCAACTTAACTACTTCAATAGCATCAACAGAGCCACCAGAGGCTGCACAGTGAAGGGCAGTGCACTTATCCGGGCCACAAGAAAAATTTACATCAACCTTGGGCTGTGCTATTATCAATTTCAGAACACTCACGCTTCCATACGTAGAAGCAACCATCAATGGAGTCCGATGCTCTAGGACTATCTGCTTTGAACCTTTCTTGCGCACATACCAGAGTCCAACTTCATCAATTGCTGAAAGATCATTCTCAATTGAACGCTTGAAACCCTCAGAGTCATTGTTAGCTGCATATTCAAGTAAACTGGAAAAAGAATCTTCGGTCTCCACAGTTAGTGGACTCATGACCATTTTGTTAAATTTTTTATCTATTGCTGATGTGGTGGACGACGAAGCAGATTTATTCTGTTCAGGGCCACTACACATTCTTCAAACAGAGCTGCAAAGCAAGAAAGAGATAATTTGGTTAGAATAAGTACACAACTACAAATATTCAAATAGAGAAACAGTATGAACCAGCAAATAACATGCATCTTCCAACTGACCATTACATTAATCATCCAGCTACAGATAATCAATCACAATAAAAAAATCAGGTAGCATAATATCGATTTCATACAATTCATCCAGGTTATCAGTATAGAAATTAATTGAACTAAAGGAGGACCTAATACCAACAAATCAAAAAAATAGGTGCTCAACAAAATCCAGATGTGGTAGTGGAACAATTGCTAGAATCAGTAGATGCTATGATCAAAAGACTGGCTTTCTTTAATACCATAACAGGCTAAAAAGCAATTTCTTCACCCAAGAATCATCAAGTGAAAAACAAATAATGGCTGAAAATCAGGTAAAACTAAATTCAACTCCATAACTCAATCCCCCTCCACCAATTGTCCAAATGGAGTAAAAGAATGAGTAAAGTCATATGTTCATTTCTTTTTCAATTTTTACCAGACCTGTTGGAATGGAATGCTCTCAAAATCCTTACAATTACTCCTTGCAGATTAGGCCTTTTGCCTTGGAGTTCTGTCCCAAATAAAATACAGCCTTCGGTTTTTTAACCATTTATCATACAATACCTACATCTTAGTGGGTTCTTTTCAAACACCTCAAGGAAAAAAGCCAATATTCTAAACATTTTTCTATGTTCATTCTCTAGTCATCAATTTCAGCTGATTAAGTGTGTCGTTCAGAAACGCGGATTTCATCAAATTGCACATATATAATAGCTCGATCTATTCTATTACACTATCCAATCTTTTATAACTTTGGTTCCATAATCAGTGTTTAAAGGTGATCTACATATGAGTACTAAAAGAATTACTTAATTAATAAGTTAAGAAAAAGGAGATCGTTAGCACCAAAAAGAAACGATCTATGAATCTTAATATCCTAGTCTCATATCTTACCTACGATGACCATCCCAAAAATCACTACCCAAAAATCGCGTCTTCAACCGCTAGATTCAAGTCAAACAAACAAAAATCACATAAATCACCACCAAAAATTAGACAAAAAATTGTACTAGTACAGAAAATCAACGAGCACAAACCCAGCATACAATCACCAACATATATATCGATCAAAACCCCAATCGTGAAAACTTACCAATAAAATTCCTTAGCGAGCTCAATAAGCCAGCTCCAAGGACAGATCTTCAGGCAGATCCAACCGAGAGTATAAAAGGGAAAAACTTATAGTGAGATCGAAGATAATAGGGACGAAAACTGGAAGCAAATCGCTTCCTCCAACTCCATTTTTACTCGAAAACGATTGATTCAGATAGATACATAAGATGTCGATACAACCTATGATACATATATATATATATATCCAGAAATATATATAATATATATGTAGATGTAATCTATATAACAATGAAAGCGAAGGTAGAGAGAGAAGTTGTGAGTGAGTGAATTCTAGAGAGAGAAAACGAAAGGTTAGAGAGATAATGTGTGTGTAACGTATAGAAAATGAAATGCAGATGTAGATGAAATGAAGTTGAAATGAGATTTGAAAGAGTTAGTGGAGAGTGGGGACGGGTGCTGTCGGTAAAAAGGGAAGAGGTTAGAGGTTTAGGTAAGGGACGGTGGTGACCGGTTGAATGGGTTGCCGGTTAGTCCACGACGGCGACTTCGGTCGACTAAAAATCCAATTGAAATGTGGAATTGGCGTCCGCCAAGCCAAAGAAGCGGACATGAAAGGGTTTTGTTAAATGAATTTGAATTAAATTGGTGGGGTCACGTCCGGAGAAAAAGGAGGCATGGAGCACTCACCTTCAAAATCTATTGTGGGATACCCTTCTTAAATGACCCCATTTTATGGTAAATATACTAAATCAAGTACTATATACATTTTTTTTTAAATTAATATATCATATTTATCATATGTTTTTAATTTTATATCAAATTTACTATATCAAATTTACTATTAAATTATTTTAATAAATAGTAAAAGCATATTTTCAATGGTTGAATAATGTACGTTAAAATAGAGAAAAAAAGATGGATAAAAGCATCTTTAACAACTATGTTATAATTTTTTATAAAATAAAGTATCAAAAGTTAAAATCTCTAAAAAAAATTATATATAACTCCAATAGTTACCTTATTTTAGAAATTTTAACCTTAACTATATTATTTAGATATTCAATATATTTAATAAAATATTATTTATCTCTTGCAAACATTTAATTAAATGTTATTTTACTCTGTTAAATATGGAGTTTTAGATATTTCTCCATTATGGATATTTCTATTCACTTGTTCATTAGTTGACATCCACTGGATATGAGTGGAATCGAACCGATCCAATCATTCTTTAGATATTGGATTTGTTAACCGATCCAATCTTATTAACATTGGACAACTGGTCTAATCCAACGGATGATCATATCATATCGGATCCATCCAATGTGCTAATCCGATCCAATTTTCCCACAATGAAAAAAGAATTGATTAATCATTTTTAATAATGTGTTAAAACCAACACAAGCAGGGCTAAAAATTCAAAAACCAACACAAAACAAGTTCCAATTTAAAGCAAATTGAAAACAAGTTAGTTAGATGATAATTGGATAATGGTTGGATTGATAACTTTATGGTAATCGGATGGTTAATTGGATGGGTAACTGGATGTTGGTTGGTTCGGTTCAGCCGGTACTAGACTGTCATCCAAGAACCAGCAGATCCAATTATTGTCAGTCGGTTCTAATTAAATCGATCGGTTCCAATTGGATCGATTGACTTTCTGTATACCCCTAATTTCTACGCTTTATTTCTTTTTTTTCCAATTTTAGCATATGCTATAGCATAGCTGTTGGAGAAAAGGTATATCTGAAATCTCCAAAATTTCTATTTTAACATAGTTATTAGGGATGCTCTAAGGTGGAAATCTCTAAATTTGGAAAAATTCTAAAACTCTATAGAAGTGAGAGAAATAATATTTTAATTATTTCTCATAAATAAAAGGTATTAAAATTAGGGGTTATTTGGTAGATGTTGAATGATTTTGGTGTAGAATGATTAAAAGGTTGTAGGGTTGCACATGGGTTGGGTTGGTCGGGTTAAAGTCATTTGAACAACTCAACTCAATGTCCGCAGTTTGAAAAATCTCAACCCAGCCCAACGCAAACCGTTCTGGTTAGGTTTGGTTGGTCAGGTTAAAGGTTAATCGGGTTGAATCATTGGTACATCATTTTATAATCTAGCTAAATATTTTGTTTAAACGAGATAAAATCAAAATTAGAACATACAAAAAGGCTAATAAACTCAAAAAAAAATGTTGAAGTACATGCAAATAAGAAGTAAAATTGCAGTTGAAATTGTAATTTAGTTTTGGATATAGCTAACTAGGGGTTGGTTTAATGTCTAATGTACATATCTATGTTGTTAATTGTTGCGCAATAGTGTCGCTATTGCGGCGAAATCTCGGATAGCAGACATTGGCAAAATAATCGTAGTCAAATTGTGGTTTAAAATGCGGTAGTGCAATTATCGGTGCAATTTACCGCAATTTTGACCGATATTTAGGGTTAATTGCGTTTGATATTAACGTCACTTTTTGGGGGGGTTGGACTTTATTTTTAGTCTATGTTTTTAGATAGTTGAGATTTATTTCCAGTTTTTCTTTTTTTGGGCTTTATTTTTCTTAAGTTTAATCCATTAACATAACTACATAAATTATAAGAACTAGGTTTCTCACTTTCTCTATCAACAATCTGTTCCGCGATCTGATCTCATCTGCTTTAGACGACCACGACTTCTAGCTTTTGTTTCCAACTTCTTTTTCCAGCTTCTATCTCCAAGTATCACGACAATCTGTTCGGCGATCTGATTCTCATATATTTCCAACCTCTGTTTCCAACTTCTATTTCTAGCTTTTGATCTCATCTGCTTTATTCTTGTTTGCTCCAGCTTCTGTTTGGTTTGTTGTTAGTCACTTACTCGGTTACTTGTTAGGACTTAGCTTTGTTAGGGTTTAGCTAAAGGAACTAATGGAAAGTATATAAGAGGGTTAATCTTCAAGAGCATATGTGACTCCGAATACTACTACTACTACTTCATCAAATGCGGGTACAAAATGCATCAACGGTGATATGGCTTGGGAATGGGGGGTATTGAAAGATCCAACCAAAAAGTATAATGTACGGTGTACTTTGTGGGGTAAAAAAGTAAGTGCAGGGATCACTAGATTGAAAGAACGTCTTACTCACACCGGAGGTAAAGTGGTTGGTTATTCTAATGTGACTAATGACACAAAGAAAAGAGTTCTTGAATCGATAAAATAAAAGGATAAGCTAAAGAAAGCAAGAAATAGAAGAGTAGAAATTCTTTGACAATACGCGGTTGAACCTGGTGAAGATGATGGTGATGGTTATGATGACGGGAAAGAACAAAATGAAATAGAATTTTATTGAAGGAAGGAGAGCACAAGCCGACAAGCCATCTCATAGTTTGAAACGAATGACCGCTAGTGATGTCCGCGGTCCTTTTGATTTCAATGTTGAAGCCCGACTATGGAGAGATAAATTAAACCACTTTAGATAGAAATAACCCAATCAAGGATAAGTTAAAGATGGCCGCTTGGAAAGAATTTGCGGTTTGGGCATATTCGGTTGGGTTACCCTTCAATGTCGTGCACGACGATAACTTTCAAAAGTTTATAAATGTCGTTGGAGAGTATGGAAGAGGTAATTATCATTTCAAATTTTGAATATATTTTAAAAGTTCATAAATGACTCCTATCATTGGTAGGCATGTCGGCTCCAAATTATCACATTATTATATCACATTGGTGAAGGATGTATTCGAGGATACAAACAAGTTTGTGGATTCCTTTCGTTCGCATTGGAAGAAGAGTAAATGCACTATTATCTCTAATTTTTGAACAGACGGGTAAGAACGAAACTTGATAAACTTTTTGGTCAATTGTCCTAAAGGAACCATTTTTTGAAATCAATTGATGCATCAGAGCATGTGAAAGATGCTCAATTAATTGTAAAGATGATGAATGAGGTTATAGATGATGTCGGAAAGGAGAACATTGTGCAGGTGTGTAGGTGACAAATATTCTATCTATAAGTATTAACATATTCTATGTATATTAAAGTATTGACTAACTTTTTTTTTACTTATACTAGTTTGTTACCAATAATGGGTCCAACTTTAAAGTTGCGGGAAAAATCTTGGAAGAACAACATCCTCAGATGTTTTGGACACCATATACAGCACAATGCGTGAATCTTATGATAGGAGATGTCCGAGAGAAAATATAGAAGATTAAAAGTTTGTTAGCCGATACGAGAGCGGTAGTGGTTTATATCTATAACCATGGCAGGATTCTGAATATGATATAGAGGCTCATTAAAAATAGGGAATTACATAGGTCTTATGTTACAAGGTTTGCAACACCATTCAAAGCATTCATGAGAACTGACATCATCTTCAAGTGCTAATTGTTTCTGAATAATGGAGGAAGAGTGACTTTGCCAAGAAAGCCATCGAAAATAGAATTGAAAGAATAATAGCTAAGCAAGAGTTTTATGAAAACAGGACTGCTCATATACAGCAAAAAGGACTGTTTACTGTAGCAAAAGACAAACTTTCCTCCAAAAGCTTGACATATGTTTTGTACCTTCTGAATTGCATTTAATGCAATGGGTATAAATAACTGAGTGCTCTGCTCTCATTATCATCTTTTTCACTACTAACTTACCCAAAAAGTTGTTTCTCTCTCTACTCTCTATCTAAGAGAAAGAACCACTTTGAACAAATGAAGAGCACTTTGATTCTTATTTTTATTTTTTGTAGCAAATCTTTTCTCTTTGCTACTTCTAATTGTGTGAACCTTAGATTGTTTAGATGGTTTCTTTATCTTATCCCTTTCGCAAACAATTTGTAAAATTTGTATTGATCTTTCTTTATCAATATACAATTTTAAAAGTGAAAGTTTTCTGTGTTTGTATTGATCCCCCCTGTACAAACTGATTACCTATAACTCTTGTAGATTTTACTATAACCGCATATAACCCAAAAGCCCAATATAGAGCAAATTAAATCGAACAAATGTCCCTAAGAATCATTTAAGTCAAGATTTGGAAGAGGTAAGCATTTTGGTTTTATAAAACCAACTAACGCCATCCTCTAAATAATACCGACTGAACCTTCATTTCTATGGTTCCCATCCCATTATAGACTACAAATCTCGACATCACAAGAAAAGATAAAGGCCATAAACAACCCCCATCGATTTCTCCCAAGGCTTAATAATGTATGTAGAAAGATTACCCATCTCTTATTATAATTTCAAATAAGAAGAGGATGTGGAGCAACATATCTGCACCAAAATGATTACCCATGCCTTATTATGATTTCAAAGTAGCCAAATCGTTCCAAAAGCCAATATTCATCAAGTTGGAAGACCATTATTAAACTTGGTGTCAATGAGGCTTTTTATTAAGATTCATCAAATGATTAGC